ACCACTGTCAACCACTCAGAGGGAGATCTATGTAGGAGATCCTGGATAGAGAGGGAGAACAATGTGGAACAAAACTCAAAATCATTTGGGAAAAAAAAGGGGGGGGGGACCAGATTTGCTGGTCTGATAGAGCCTGGTGGAACCAATGAGACTATGGCCCCTAGCTGCCCTTCAGGTCTGGAATTGAATTCACACTTATGGCTTCTAGCCAAACAAAAGACAGACATATGGGGTGAACATTTACCTGAGATAGACACACTCTTGGAGAGAATAATCATGGGAGAAAGAAGGGCTGTTTATGCACAGGAAAACAGCTCAGGGGACAGGAGTGCATGGAGGGATGGACACAGGGAAAAGGTAACTATTGGGAGGAAGTGGGAGGGGACCTGTTGCATTGGGGTAAATATTGGGGTAAACTGTAGTCAATGTCATGAGACAAAGGGTTATGTGAACTGCTGTTTGGAAAGTGAATTTGCTCTGTAAATATTTACCCAAATCACAATTTGAAAAAGAAAAAAAGTTATGGTATCCCTAAGCTCAGTGTTCCTCCCCCACATTGCAACATATTGCATTCATCCAAGCCCACTTGTGTCGGTACCATGGAATTTGGGTGGCTCGAGGAAATGATGCAAATCAACATGAAACACGTGAATAATGAATTCATTTGTCTCTGACCCAGGAGATGGCTGTCCTCTAGCAGAATCCATGAAATAGTAACAAGGTAACAAAAAACAAACCCACTGCCATGGAGTCAATTCTAACTCACAGCAACTCTAATTCATCAGCTTGCAAACCCCAGACACTTACTGCCTATTCTTTACTTCTCCCTATAGGGTTGCTAAAGGAGCTCTGGTGGTGTAGTGTTTAAGTAATTTAGCTGCTAACCAAAAGGCCGGTGGTTTAAACCCACCAGCTGCTCCAGAGAAGAAAGATGATGCAGTCTGCTTCCATAAAGCTTTACAGCCTTGGAAACCTAAAAGGAGTTGCTATGAGTTGGAATTGACTTCATGACAATGAATTAGAGTTAGTTAGTTATAGGGTCGCTATGAATTGGAATCAACTCGATGGCTGTGGGTTTGGTTTTGTTTGGTTTTTAGCCACACTGTTTGCCATGTGACTTTGTAGCAATTTCCATTAGGAAGTAGAGCCTATTCCCCCAGCCTTTGATGCTGGGATGGCCTTGGGACTTGCTGTAGCCAATTGAAAATGGTGATGTGATATCTCTAAACCTAGACCACAAAAGGCATTGCAGCTTACTGTCACTCTATTAGAACCACACTTTCACCACGTGAGCAAGCTTGGGCTTCCAGCCACAGGGTTACAAACCACATGGAGTAGACCAGTTGTCCCAGCCGAGGCCATCTTAGCTCAGCCTATAGCCATCCAAACCCCAAACATGTGGAAGAGCCCAATGTGGATCAGCAGAGCTGCCTACATGATCCACGTCTGACCAGGTGTGTTAGTGAGCCCAGCCAAGATAAGAAAAATGGCCCAGCTGACCTGTAGACTCATGATGGATAAACCAAACCCAAACCAAACTCACTACCATCAAGTTGAGCCTGACTCATAGTGACCCTTCCTTGGTTTTCCAAGGTGGTATCTGGAAGTAGATTGCCCAATCTTCCTTCCAAGGAGTGGCTGGTGGGTTTGAACTACCAGCCTTCTGGTAAGCAGTCAAGTGCCTTAGGCACTACATTTTAAATATGCAATTTAAAAAAACAAAAAATAAAAACCTCACTGAGGTTGAGTCAGATCTGACTCATAGCGACCCCTCCTTGGGTTTCCAAGGTGGTATCTCTACAGAAGTAGATTGTCCAGTCTTCCTTCTGAGGAGTGGCTGGTGGGTTTGAGCCACCAGCTTTCTGGTTAGCAGTCAAATGCCTTAGGCACCATGCCACCAGAGCTCCTCATGAAGGATAGCAAAAGCTAATTTTTCTTTTTTTTAAGTCAGTTTCAAGTAGTTTGTGGCTCAGTCATTGCTACTATACAGTTTTCACAATTGTCACCAACAGTGTCTCAGTATTGCAAGGCTTCCGAGAGTGGAACATAGATACAAACACCTTCTGTGCATCTACTATTTGCTAGGGCCATGACTCCATTGTGCCATTTTGTACACCATTCAAACTGAAGATCATTATTCCCAATTTACAGATGACAAAACTGAGGCACAGAGAGGAAGAGCACTGGCCCCAAAGCAACCCAGCAGAGTCAGGACTCCAGATCTGATCTGTTTGTAGCCCTTTTCCCACCAAGGCTCCATCAGGAACTCTGGGTTCACAGGACTTACATGCATGAGGCTTGCACTCTCATTGAAGATCTTCATGTAGGGTTTCAAGATGTTGAAGTGGAAGGCGGGTGTCAGCAGGCGGCGGTGGCGGCTCCACTTGTCACCAGCACTCAGCAGGAGCCCGTCCCCTAGCAAGGGCAGCCATGGGCAGTGGGCAAGGGCAGCACTTTCCCCTGGACCCCAAGATTGTCCCCAACCCCCTTCACCTATAGTTACTCACCCAGCCAGGGCTTCAGGAAACCATAGAAGAGCATATCCTTCATCGCAATGGTAGCTGACATGAATGAATGCCATTAGGGGTCATGGAGAAGGGAGGAACTCTGGGTGGGGCTGTGAGCTCCCAGCCAGGGGACTGCACCTCCCTCCAAGCCCGGCATAGCAAGAACAGAGCCAAGGGCAGAGAAAGCAGGGAGGAGGCAAGGGGGTAAACAGAGCAGGCGATAGCAGCAAGAGTAGAGCCAAGACAGAGCCAACAAAGACACCCAACTATGCTAGACACACTCTAACATGGCACAACACATTCCAACATGCCTGTACATATCTCTTCCACATCCAACATTTCTGGAACACTGAGCACAACCCAACCCGCTCCCTAAAAAGTACATTACATGGAGCGAGGGCACCCTAACATGGCCCAGAATCCTCTGACACCTCCTGACATGGACCTAAAACAGCTAACATGAGACCCATATTCCCAACATGGCAACGACATACATGGCACACCCTGACATGCCCATAACATGACATAATATGTTCTGACATGGAGCTGAGACTGCTGGCATGGCATGAACACATGCTAACATGCCCTAGCATAGCCACAACATACTAGACATATCTTAACATGTTCATAACATGACACAACATGCTCTGATATAGACAAGAGACATATGACAAGAATACCCCACACATGAGCCCCATATGGGATTTAAATATGGTCCCAAGAGTGTCCAAGATGTGATCCAGATGGCCCAGGTATGACTAGACATACCTTTGGACCTGCCTCACACAAAACTAAAATAACCTCCCAGACGCTTCACAGAGAGACTCTGAGTCCAAGATATAGCACAGCCCTGACATGAGACAAACACAAACATGACCCCCAAATGACCAACAGGACATCTGGACAATCTGAAATGGCATCTCAGACTCTGATAGGCCCCAATGTCCTGGGCCAAGCTGAGCCCAAATGTGATGAAGAGCATCTCCAAATGGTCCCAGGGGCAAACGTAAACCCAACATGGTCACACAGCAAGCATCATACAGACACGTCCCAGATGTGACCAGACAAGACTGGGGTCAGACATGTGGGTCCAGGCATGCCAGCAGCAGCAGCCCCCCCACCCATACCATTCCTGTCTGCCCGCCTGGTCCCCTGCCCAGCTAAAGGCAGCAAAAGGCTCAGCTACAGAAAGCTGTGGGCAACAAGTGTCTACCTGGAGCCAAGAGGACAGGCTTGATGAAGGTGGGGTGGAAGATGCGGATGACTGCATGCCACGGCCCCACCCACCAGCAGCACAGGTCCCCAAAGGTGCTGACTAGGCCCTGTGTGTACTGGAGACCCTCCTCTGAGCTCTGTATCTGGGGAGGAACAAAGAGGAAGACGCTCACACCCTTGGAAGTGCCTGAGAGAAAGGCTTGAGGCAGAGAACCACCCAAGCCCTGAGATCCCTAATCAGCCCCTCATCCCCACTGGGTGAGCCCCATCCTAGGCCTACAACCTGACACATGACCATCGCAGATCCTTCAGTCACAGGAGCAGAAACCACCTCTCCCCAATGGGCACCCAGTACCACATTCACCACAGTTCTCTTCTTACCCATTTTCCAGATAAGGAAATTGAGGTTCTGGATGATGACGTGGCTTGCCCAGGATACCCCAGAGAGTAAAGGGCTGCCTGACACCTGAGTCCAGGTCTGTCTGAATCCAAAGCCTGAGTTCTTAAGCACTGTGCCCACAAAACAATGGTTCTGGGAACTCGGTGCCCACCAAGCCTGAGCAAGCAGAGTCCCGGCAATTGTCTGGAAGTTGGTACTATAACACAGGTCAGGCTATTAGTGGGCACTCTGGGGGAAAGGTGAGCCTTCCTATTGTAATTGAGCTTCTTGGATCATCATTTACAACATGAGGGAAGAGCTACCTTAAAGGTAAAATTGACTAGGAAAGTAGAACCAAGAGACGAAAACAGATTCTTGGTGGCTTTGTTTGAGATCTGGATCCAGCCATGCCTGAAGGCCACCCGCCTTGAACTTTTCAGTCAATAGATTCCCTTTCTTTGGTTAGGCCACACATGATCGAGTTTCCAACACTCACAACTGAAAGAGAACTGAGCAACCAAAGAGTCAGGGACCTGCCCAGAGTCCCACAGAGCTGGTTGGTGACAGAGTTGAGATCTCTGTCAGATGCTGCCCATTCCCCTGTCCAGAGTGCAAAAGACAGAGGGCAAAGGAAAGGAGCACAGATGAAGTCAGCTCTCCTAGGAGAGACATATAGGGTCTGGAGCAGGGGAGGAATTAACTTAGGGTGGGTAAGTTGCAGGATGAGGTAGATGGGACCAAACCACCAGAGGTGGATGTCATGGGTGTAGCAGCTCAGAGCCCTCGTCATAGCACTGCACCTGTGCTGGGTGGGTAGGCAGAGGCCAGGCCTGGGAGGAGTCTCCAAAGATACCACTGTCCATTGCACCACCCTGCCTCTGTTTAACAAACATCCCACCCATCATTCCACACCCAGTTCTAACAATTCCTCAGTAAACCATCCTTCCAGGCTTCCCTAGCCCATCTCTCCCTCTGACCCCACTCCTGACCACAGGGGATTGGAGATGTCTCTAGATCCTTCTCCCCACGATTGGGGGTTTCTCCATGACTGGGCCTTGGATTGAAAACACGGGGTGGGGGGGGCAGGTTACAGATGATGAGATGAGGGCAGGAAAATGCATGAAAGAAAGAGGAAGTAGGCTGAGAGAAGAGGAGAGGGGTTAAGCTTCTGCAGGGACCATCCAGAAGCTGGGGGCAGAGGGGCACTAGCCCTTGTGCTGCCATGGTGCCCACCATCATAACCTGCAAGTGGGTACCTGAGGCACTGACAACAGGCCGGATGATTTCAGGGTGGCACAGAGTGATGAGGGGGTTGACAGGGCCCAGCCAGGTCTTAAAGCCCTGGGGGTAGATGGCCACCAGCTGAGTCACTTCAGTCAAACCCTGCTCCGTAGGAGTGATCTGCAAACAACCAGATAGAGCCACAAGTGTCCTCCCCTTCTTGGCTTCCAGAGGTGGCACAGCTTCTGCTGTGAACATTTGTCAGGATTCTGCCCTAAAGTAGGACTCCTTGCTTTCTTCTGCTCTGTCCAAAGGAACAAGAGTCCCTTGGGACAGGATAGTCCTGGAAGCAGGCTCCAAATCTAAGGGTGTATCCAAGAGCAGAGAGGGAAGGCAGCACTCTGGCTATAGAGCTTAGCTCCAGGTGTGGGGTCTTCTGGTCCTGGATGTGGCTGCTGCATAGGGCATAAGCACAGGGGGAGGGCAGCAGTGTGGTCTCAGAGCTATAGCATCGGGGCTTAGTCCACATTCTCTCTGGGCCCTGGCAGTCCACCTCTGGGTCTTCACCCAGAAAGGTCTTCAGACCCAGGACCTTCCAGCCTCACATGCTCCCCAGGAACAGGCATTAACTCTGAACGGCCATCCCATGGCAGCCCTCCTTGATGGAGCACTTCCTGCATGCCAGGCTGGGCACACGTGTGTCTGGAGCATCCTGTCTCTGCACCTACAGATGTGACCCTCCATGGTGCCAAGGGCAGGTGGGGGCTGGGCATCCAGGGTGTGGAGAAGAGGAAGAGAAGGATGTCCTGGCAAGATGACACTCGGGTCCTGGGGACACCCTGACAGTCTGAGCCTCAGCCCCAAGGCATTTCCTAGGGTCTTTGGGAAGCTAGGATCGCAACTGACTGCTGGGACATCTGCTTGAATCCTGAAACACCTTATCCATCCAAGCCTGACCCCTTAGGCATCTTCTCAAGAGTCTTTAAGGAATACCTTGTTTGCACCTGACCCTGACATGTTTCCTCGGATTCTCGGGACACCCAGGCCATGCCCAACCTCCAAGATGCTCCAACCAAGTGAACATAAACTACCTTCACCTGGTATCCTGCATCCTGTTCCCTGCTCCCCAGTGAACTTGAGCTGAGGATTCAATGGAACTGATCTAGAGAGGAAGAGTGACTAGGCCAACATCACACAGCAAGAGGGGCTGGAAGAGGGGAAGAGTGATCCAGAGCAGACCAGCCTCTGAGGCCAAACCATCAGAAGGAAAGACAGGACTGCAGGGGACATACGATGCTCCTGTGGCCTCTATGGCCCTCTGTTGTTGTTGTTGTTGTTATGTGCCGTCGAGTCGGCCCCAACTCATAGCGACCCCTCCTTGGGTTTCCGAGGCAGTTATCACTACGGAAGTAGGATTGCCCAACCTTCCTTCCGAGGAGTGGCTGGTGGGTTTGAACCGCCAGCCGTCTGGTTAGCAGGCAAGTGTGTTAGCCACTATGCTACCAGAGCTCCCAAGGACACCTCAAATCCCAGAATCTCAGGAAACCTTCATGGTGAGCCTGGGAGCACCCCTTCTGAGTGAACTTTGCTGTGGTGGGCAGTTGAATCACAGGAATCCCCTCCGCAAGCTGCTGTTCTCGTCTCCACAGAAGGGGAAGCTGGAGAGATGTGTTTGTTCCCAAGCTGATCTGGGGGAGAGGTGAGGCTAGGGCCTCTCCCTTTGGCCTTGAATGTCTCAACCACTGTGTGCTCAAATATTGATCGAGTGCTCACGGTATGCTAGCTCCTGGACTGTGCACTGTGGATAGAGTTCTTGGCTCCTAGAGCTACAATCATGTTGTTGTTGTTGTTATTTGCCATCAAGTCAGACCCGACTCATAGCAACCCTTCCTTGGGTTTCCGAAGCAATATCACTATGGAAGCAGATTGCCCAACCTTCCTTCCAAGCAATCATGTAGGAGAGATAAAGAAATGACTGGGCAATTAATGTACAAGTGTGAGGAGAGCCACCACAAAGGTCAAGGACGGCTTCTCAAAGGGGAAGTGGGCAACCTGTGTCCAGGTTAGGCAACAGGGCTCATTGGTGCAGCTTCAGGGCGGAGGACAAGATAAGAAGAGGAAGGTGCCCCAGGAAGGGTGGGATTGGGAGCCAGCACACAACTCTCCTCTGGCCCTGCTGTGCCCTGTGGGGAGGGGGGAGAGGGGAGAACTATAGCCCTAAGAGGAGTGGGCACTGGCCTGAGGCCAGCAGAGATGGACCAGAAGGTATAAGGGGCTCTGGACTGTGTCCCTGACAAGGCCCCTGTTAAGGGTGAAACTGAAAAGGTCAGGAGGTCTGGTTCTGTCCAGTCTGCCCTGGAAGCCCCCCAGGAAACCAAAGGTACACCAATGGGGGAAACACAGGCAGGGGAATAACCTAAAGCAGGCCTGGGGTGGGGAGAGGAAGAATGAGAGGAAGGGTTCAGGCAGGGGAGGGACAGAAGGGGAAGTAGAGGACCTGGGGGTTGAGGGAGGAAAGAGGGGCTCCCCTCATTCCTCTGTTGTCTTAGACCCACCCACCCTCTGGCCCACACCCCCTGACCCTGATTCCCGTGGCCAGACACCCTAGATTCATCCTGTCACCCCACTCACCAAGCCCAGGTGGCCCCAAAACCAGTTTCGTTTTGGGGGCTGTGGGAAACATCGGAGGTGGTTGCACTTGTCCCAGAAGGCATAGGTCCAGGCCAGGATGCGGGCCAGGAGCCACCCTGTCCCGGCCAACAGCAGGAACAGCAACGGGGAGGCCGTCCCGGGCCAGAGTCCCAGCCATGACCAGGACCAGCTGAGCAGCGACATCCTGCAGGCTGAGGAGAAGGGACACTAATGGTGAACGTGGAGGCAGAGGTGGGATGGGTGCAAAGTAGAGGGAGGGGCCAAGGATGTGGGGCTCCAGGGTAGGGTCCAAAGATGGGTAAACATGGGGTCAGAGAGGGAAAAGAGGCCCGGGGAAGGCCAGGGAAAGAGGTGGGGACAGAGAGAGAGAGAGAGAGATGGAGTGAGTGGGACAGAGAGTTGGCTGTAGTCCAGGAAGTACCAGCCCCAGCTGGCAGTCCCAGGGAGGTTGTCAGAGGATCTGGTTACCCATTAATCACTTCCCTGGATCAGCTTGCTCCCTGGAGCTGCCCAGCCAGGGGTAGCACCCCTTCTCCACCCACCAAGACCCTCCTAGCCCTGCCATTCTGACCCCCAGTGGCTTGTCCTGCACAGCCTCTGCTTCCTTCCTCCTAGGATCTCTTTGTCTCTGTCCCTGACCTGGGGACAGCTGGGAGGAGCTGGCCTGGGCCTGCCAGTACCCACAGGCCTGGCTTCCTCCTCCCTGCTGCGCAACTGTCCAAAATTGGGGGTTGGGAGGGAGGAAGGGATGCGGTGCTATCCAGAGAGTCTGAAGAGCTAGCTCAGGTCACACAGAGTAGGTGACGGATCCTGTAGACACAGCACCTTCCACAAGGAGAAGAAGACAAGTTGGGGAGTGCAGGGGGTTGGCAAAGGTTACTCTGAGCTCTA